TCTTAATCTAAGTGCTTTGTAACAGCAACCAAAATATCAAGATTTCCATTTGCAGATATAATCCACTCCTCCCTCTCCTTCTGTCCATCATGCAGACACATCCAATCAACAACAAACGCAACATGAGGTCAACAGCGAGTCAGTCAGATGCCTGTCTCTGGTGACCTACAACTAATGTAATGCAATATGTAAAGGTCTGTCTCGCTGTGAGTGAACCCGGTCACTTCTGTACCATCAGACACCCAGTCAGAGTGCGGTTTGGCTGAATTTCAAAGCAGCAAGAAACGGCATGTCAGACCACGACACCGTGCAAAAACAGTTACCCAATACCCCACGGCCTCCTCCTAGCATTAGTATTACAGCAAGAGCTCTGGCTGTATTAGTTGTGTAACACTGCTCGTCTGCAGGGCAGGAAGAGGGATAATAGATGTCATGCTACACATTAGTTCTGCCGGCCCACCGGCCCCCTCATTCACATGCAGGACTACTGTATCTAATCCTCTCACCTGCCTGCGAAGAGCACTTCCCTCAATGACTGTTTATCGTAACGCCCTGTCATTCAATCCCCCCTCCTCTCTTACTCTGTCTCTTTTCTCTGGTTCTTGCCTTCCCTCACAGCCAGCTTTTATCTACAATTACCCGGAGAAAATGAGGCTAATAACTCACTTTAGACAGTGAGGCGCACAAGGCAACACTTAAGTCTTTATATGATTTCAACCGGAGGATCCGCTTGGAAAAAAACATAGCTAAAGGGTTGACCTGTAGCAATGCAAAATTATAATAAACGAATCTATAACAAGTGTAAGAGACAGAAAGGAAGTGAGGTTTAAAATGCACATATGCTTGTGGTTGTGAATCTCACTGCTAATTTGTACTGGGATTCCCACGCCGGTAATGCAATAAGGTTGCATTAGTTAATGTATTTAATAACATGAATGAAGAATGACCAACATATTTATTACAGTCTTCATTCATCTTTGTTAAGGTTAGGTCATGAAAGTTGTTCATTGTTATTTCTACTGTTAACAAGCACAATTTGGGATTTTGATAATGCATTAGTAAGTGTTGAATGAGTAATAAATGTTGTACTAGTTTTGTTTATTCTTAGCTTAACCACATTAACTAACATAAACTAATGAAATCGGCAGCACAGTGACTCAGTGGTTAGCACTAACGCCTCACAGCAAAAAGGTCGCTGGTTTGTTTCCCAGCTGGGTCAATTGGCATTTCTGTAAGGAGATTGCACATTCTCCCCATGTTCACATGGGTTTCCTCTGTGCTTATGTTTCCCTCAGAGTTAAAAGACATGGGCTATAGGTGAATTGAATAAATTAATTGTTCATAGTGTGTGTGTGTGTGTGTGTGTGGTGTGTGTGTGGTTGGTGTGTGTGTGTGTGTGTGTGTGTGTGTGTGTGTGTTTCCCAATACGAGGTTGTGGCTAGAAGGGGCATCTATTGCGTAAAAATTTTGTTGGAATAGTTGGCGGTTCATTATGCTGTGGTGACATCTTAAACAGAGATTAAGCTGAAAGAAAATGAATGATTGAATGAATGATTGAATGAATGAATGAATGAATTAATTAATTAATTAATTAATGAATATATGAATGAATGAATGAATGAATGAATGAATGAATGAATGAATGAATGAATGAATGAATGAATGAATGAATGAATAACTAATGAAATCTTATTGTAAAGTTTGAGCCACACACCTTGTCTCCATGACTTTTTGATGGATAAAGATTTTTAATTGTAGCAAATTTTTGAGATTTTGCAAAGCAGTATTTGTGTTGTACATTAAAAAAAGACTATGTTTAAGTGCTGATATATTCATGGCAAAATTATTTTCATTTTTCAAGGTAGTTTATCAGTGTTACAGTATATTGCCAACAACAGAGATTATGATTATGACAGAGATTATACACACATATATATATATACATATATACATATATATACATATATATATATTTCAATTACATTACTTGATGCTTAGGCTGGCATGGTGGCTCAGTTGTTGCCCCTATCAGCTCACAGCAAGAAGGTTGCTGGTTCGAACCCAGGATGAGCCAGTTGGCATTTCTGAGTTTGCATGTTCTCCCTGTATTTGTGTGGGTTTCCTCCGGGTGCTTCGGTTTCCCCCACAGTCCAAAGACATGCACTATAAGTGAACTGAATAAAGTAAACTGGCCGCAGTGTCTGATTGTGTGGATGTTTTGCAGTACTGGGTTGCAGCTGGAAGGGCATCCGCCGTGTAAAACATATGAAGGATAAGTTGGCGGTTCATTCCCCTGTGGCAACCCCTGATAAGTTAAGGTACTAAGCTGAAGGATTGGTATAGTAGAATTGATGTTTAAAAGTATGTTACTTCTATTTTTATTCTAAATGTACAGGAAAGCGTAGAGACTACACTGAAAAAAAGTGTCCCAAAGATGATTCCTTGGATTTACTAGTTGTCTTTTTTTTTAAGTAAGTGGTTGTAAACTATTTATTCGGGCAGAATTTAGACTAAACAAACAAATTGATTTGGACATAACTAGATTAAATTTGTTTAAATTCAACCCACGGGCATCATGGTGGCTCAAAGGGTAGCATGATCGCCTCACAGCAAGAAGGTTGCTGGTTTAAGCCCCGGCTGGGTCAGTTGGCACTTCTATAGGTGAATTGAATAAACTAAATTGGCCGTAGTGTATGTGTGTGAATGAGTGTGCATGGGTATTTTCCAGTGTTGCGTTGTGGCTGGAAGGGCATCCGTTGCTTAAAACACTCTAGATAAGTTGGTGGTTCATTTCGCTGTGGTGACCTCTGATTAATTAAAGGGACTAAGCTAAAAAGAAAATGAATAAATAAATGAATGAATGAAATTTAACCCATACAAATTGTTTGCAAAAATTTAGCAAAACCCCTTTTTTCAGTGTATATGCATTTATTTATTTATTTATTTAGAGTATTTCACAAATAGAAACAAATGTGAATGAGCGTTATAGTTTTGTAACAAGGCATGAAACAGATGAATATTTGTTTGTTTATTTCCATAGTGTCAGTGGAGAACACCAAAACACAGGTAAAAATGAACAAAGCAATACACGTTACAATAAGGCCAAAATATGAAAAAAAAAAAAGTTAGAAATTTAAATTGCAAAATAATTTTCCTCAGCAAATCATACCCATTCATCCTAAGATATTTGAGACAAATGGATTTTAAACACAACAGCCATACATTTTCTAAACTGTGGTCAGAAATTACCTGTGGTACAACAAAATTATAGCTACACTACACTTGCCTAGAGCAGTCAGTTTTCAGAGTTATCTTAAAGAAATACATACATAAACCTACTTACTTCAGAAATGTCTATGCTTTTTTTTCATTTATTCATTCATTCATTTTCTTTTCGACTAAGTCCCTTTATTAATCTGGGGTCGTCACACCAGAATAAACCGCCAATTCACCTATACCACATGTCTTTGGACTGTGGGGGAAACCCACGCAAACACAAGGAGAACATGCAAACTCCACACAAAAATGCCAACTGAACCAGCGACCTTCTTGCTGTGGGGCGAACATGCTACCACTGCGCCACCGCGCAGCCCTGCTTTCTTTTCAATAGTTCATATATTTCCATTACTCACCCAGGTCTGTAAATCTCGTAAATTTTAATATTCATCTTTAATATTGATGACTGTGGGAGCTCTGTTCTAACATCATCTCTGATTTAGCTGTATAAAAAAATCATCGTACTGTCATCTCACAGCGTAGCAGACACAGAGGTAAACGTTTGTAAGAGAGTCAGACATGCTGTCAGTCTCCTCACAGAAAGTTCCACAGTGTGTGTTCCTGTGTGTGATCCGTCATCCCGTCAAAAACACAAGTAGAGTCTTTAAGTAGAGTCAGCGAAATTTGCTGAAAAATAAAAACTGATACACGAAATAACATTAATAGATGCTGATGTCACTCATCCTCCAATTTCTCCAATTGGAAGACATGCTCTGGGACTGCATTCAAATGTCAAAATTATAGACAGAGGAAGCCAAGAAATACACTAACATTTGGGGTTTGTAAGACTTTTTAATGTTTTTGAAAGAAGTCTGTAATGCTCCAAGGCTGGATTTATTCATTCAAAATTAAAGTAAAAAAAAAATGCAATATTTTGTGGATTGTGACATTTTAGAAAATAGTTACATTTTTTTGTAAAATCTTTAATCTCACGTAACTGTTTAAATATACTAAAATATGGTGATTTGATACTCTCAAAACATACTATTATTACTATTACTATTTGGGGCATGAGAGAGATCTGCAGAGTGGATGGCAACATCAACAGGGTTGTTGCTAGATCGGATATGGTTGCGGCTGGAAGTTAACAAAAATTGTTAATATTATTTATTAAATTTCCCATTAATCGTATTTTATTAACATCTAACCCCTTCTCAACCCTAAGCCCAACCATCACACTAATGTAAAAACAGTAGTTGTACTAAGTATTATTTATGTTATCTATTAGATTACCCAATAAATTGTATTTTTAAAGCCTACCCCCAACCCTGGGGTAAAATGAAGGAGGGTCTGGTAAGGGTAAGGGTCTGGAGTAAGATGAAGAAGGAGGCATTAAAAATGAATCCAAAGAATCTTGATGAACTCTGGGAGTCCTGCAAGAACGCTTTCTTTGAAAATTCAGGTGGTTTATTAAAAAGTTATTTGAGTCATAGCAGAGATGTGTGGATGCAGTCCTCTAAGCTCATGGGAGTCTTACACAATAATATTCTTTTTCCACTGCACAATGATTTTATATTCTATGCTGTACATTACTTCTGTTAAGTGACAAGACCTTTGTCTAAGCAAAGTCAGACCTTACTGTCCTAATTAAATCATTAAAAAAATCAAGCCATGATCATATTTTATTTTTGTAAAATAAGTGTAATCTAGAGGCCATTGTTTTTCATCTAAGACACTTCAAATACCCAATTATCAACTAAAAGTTCTCGTTCTATTGTGCTTACCATGAATTGGGTTGTGGCCCACTGACAGCGGGATGGCACGGTTCAAGGTGGGTCCCACTCCTTGCATCTGCGTGTGTGTGTGGTAGTTTTTCTGCTGGACCAAAAACTTTTGGGACTTACTCTGGTGCATCGTCATCGAAACTGGGTTTTGTATTCTGCAAGATACAAACATTAAAGACCAAAATATCAATATAATGCTTTACCGACTCTTTTTTTGCCTCTTTGTTTCAATGTCCATCACTCAACGTTGATATTACATATTGAAATAATGTTATATTTTATTCATGTGTTCATATTCTCATTTATGCACTTTTCACTTTGATTAATTACCCGCTTAAGGGCATCCAGAAAACAACAGTACTTTGAGCACACAGATGTGCTGCTGGTTACATGTAAATGAAACCAATCATTTGTAACATACAAAACACATCAGCAGTCCCATGAATCAGACAGAGTGATTTTTCATTATGTTTATCACAGACGTGCAGTAAAATTCCATTTTCTATAAACACACACTGCAAGCACATGGGCAAAAATCAATCATAACTCAACAGACCACATAACATGCTCTTTTATTTCTGTTTGAGGCAAACGGATTAGGCTTTATTTAACTAGTAGGTTATCCTAAAATCAGAAGAGAGCTTTAATGGCCAAATGACTTCATTTAGGAAGAATAATCCTGCTCACATAAAGCGCACAATGATGACTGCTATGCGACATTAGACTCGAAGCATGAAAATAGTGCAAAAATGTATAGGACTAAAATACTAAAATTTAATTACAATTTCCATAGTAGTAGATTTACACAAAAATAAAAGTATATATGTAGAATTAGTTTAATACAGTTTCTTCCCATGCATTTGATAAATGCCTTCTCTGTCGTTTTTGCCTAAACTATTGAAATATTTGGTAACTAAAAATTAATGTTGAAAAATAAAAATGTCAAGATACAGATATTACATGAAAACATACATAGACATTTTGGCAAATAATTATGTTTACAGTGAAATGCTGAAATGGCAAAATTCTATGAATTCATTCATTTTCTTGTTGGCTTAATCCCTTTATTAATCCAGGGTCACCATAGCGGAATGAACCGCCAACTTATCCAGCTCGTTTTTACACAGCGGATGCCCTTCCAGCTGCAACCCATCCCTGGGAAACATTCACACACTCATTTGAAATAGTCTATTTAGAAATTCTATTTAGAAAGCCCAACGAAATCACTCAAACTGGAAATATAAAACATAAAGGTTATTTTATGAATACTAATAAGAATCTTTTTTCCCAAAAGTCAATTTCTTGTATAGCTAATATTATTATCAATAGTTTGTGCAGATACTTATAGGGTATGTGTACATCTAGTGTTTCTTCCCAAAACGATAAACGTCTGGTTTAATTTTATACAATTCCCTTTACAGCATCAATGTTGTAATGTAATTAAAATATAATCAGTTAAAGACTTCAGCATTCATTTAGTTGTTCAAGCAAAGAAACAAAAATTGAGGTGAAAAGTTGTTTACATACACACTCCCATCAGGATTAGCAGGCTAGTGCAGAAACTTCATTGAAAACACTGGAGTAAAATTTTTTTTAATATTTTGAAGACATGGCGTGGAAAAATTAGTTTAAAAAACAGACCTTAAAAACACTGATTTTGTAAGAGCATATAGTTCATAAGAAAATTTAAAAGTCGTTGCACATACTTCTGCATATACAGTATTATATCTGTCGAATAAAGGTGCCTGTCCATTGGGTTTTCCAGTTTAAGAAACATGGCGGTCATAATGATAATGCATAAATATTTCTAAAGAGTCACACTTTATTTTGAGGGTCCGTTTGTTGGATTTAAGTTACATTGCATCTACACGCCAACTAATTCTAATAGGGTTAGTGTAAGTTGACATGTACTTGCAAAGTTTTTTATTGTCAGTTAAATGTCTGTTGAATGTCTCTATCAACACAAATTAAGCAGACAGTCTACTAATACTCAAATGGACCATCAAAATAAAGTGTTACCAACTAAAGTAACACTGTTGTATGCAAAGTATCCATTGTTGATGCAGAATCTGGCCAAATTTAAATTGTCCCTTGAAATTATAACTAGGTCAGCTTTCTAGTTTTTGGAAGAGTGTACAAAATTAGACAGCCAAATTTCATTAAATAACTCTGTAAAGAAATTATGGGAATCAAAAATGATAAGCTATGTCTGCATGAGAGTCCTGAACATCTCGCTAATTTACAGACAAAACACAGCAGACAGCTGTGAGGAAAGGAAACGGATATGAAATCTAATCCGTCTTTTATACATCTATTAGGATGAAAAAAAACAGGGATGCGGTTGCTGAGAATCACAGCTGGGAAGCCTCATAAAACGATGACGCACAAGACTAAATTAGGGTCGACATCTCAGAATAACAGCAGAGACCTCAGATCTGTCTGAATAGTATCTGTTGTTTTAGGGACAGTCCAGTTTCCCCTACAAAAAAATAACAATAACAAAAAAGTCATTATTTTTTCACCCTGTATGACGTTATTTCTTCAATGGAACATCAAAGAAATTTGACAAATGTTGGTAATCAAATCACGTTTGATTCCATTGACTTCTATTGAATTTTTTTTTATCCATGTACAGTAATTGAAGTAAATGAGAAGCACAATGGTTAGCTTTCCCATATTTTTGGAAATCAAAGATTGAACTTGCATATGAGTAAATGATATAATTGATGAAATAAAGTGTTAATTTTTTATGAACTATATCTTTAAGGCCTGACTAACATTTGATGATTGACAGATACAGCAGAGCTCAACTTTATGCAAATGAGCAATGATGCACTGCGGCAACAACCAACAAGAGTGCGTACAGACCACCGCCTTTCAGTGCAAGCAAAGGCTTTAGACATAACAACATGGTTTTTATTCACAACAAAGTGAGATGTGAGGACAAGTGTATAAACAGCGTCTGCTCAAATGTAAAGCAACGGAAGGCGCAAATACACAGAAACTAGCAAACAAAATGAGAATATTTACAGGGAAAGTGTAAACAGAGGTTTGTTCCTTTCATTTTGTCCTCTGTTTCTGTCTTTCATCTCTCATTTGATGTTCTCAATTTTAAAAAGCACATTTGTTAATCTCATGCAATTTGTTAAAGTCTCTCGCAGTCTTATATATATTGTTCATTCCCACAAAGACACAAAGAATTTCAAGTTTTCAGTTTACAGCTCTGGCATTAAATAGCACATTCACATTACACACACATACTGTATATAAACCAAAACACACACACATACAAACACACACAAAAAAAGTTTTCAGCAACTATTAAGTATTCTAGCTGTAATTTTGGAATGGTGAATGCCAGCACATTAAGAAACACATGGCAACCCTAGATAAGACCTAACTAAATTTGTCTGGTAAAAGCATTTAATATATTTAAAAAATTAAGTTTAAGTCTTCATTCAGATCAGCAATCACAAAACCAACTTGACAATGGGGCATAATATGCTCAGCTAGTGTTTTTCAGCCAATGATAAACTTCCGGTAAAAGGTTAATGACTATTTTCAATTTCATAAGGTTTCTTTTACAGCATCAATGTTGTAACGTAATTTCATTCAATTAAATAGACTTGAGCATTCATTTAGTTATTCAAGCGTAAAACGAGATGAAAGACTATGTAACTGCTAGCACCTTCAGGATTAGCGGGAAGCCGCAGAACGTCCATTGGAAATTGAAAATACTGGAATAAAAAACCTGTCATATTTTAAAGATATGGCAGGGCATAATGTAAATTAATGCAGTGCTTCTTGTCCGGTGTGAGACCCACTTTATATCAGGCAGTGAAGATCGCTGATTTGTGAAGAAATTAGACCTTAAACGTGACAATTTTATAATGGAAAAAACAAGTTTACCGGAAGCGCTGAGGCAGGCTGGCTGAAATTAAAAGTCTGTGTGCACATACCCCATTATATGGTTCCCAGCAATGTTGCTTACAAAAAAAAAAAATGGTTATGTGTTTGTTCTCCAGAACTATCCAGCACAAACCTACACATTAACAAACGTAACACATTAAGAAAATTCAAGATGTCCCAGGCTGGCCTTTTCAGCAGTAGTTCCCATTGCACCCTACATAGAGCAGACCACACACATAAAAAGAAAAGGCATAAAATGTTTGAGCCTGTTCTTGAACAGGTGAAAAGCAATGAGCTGTGTAAGTGCGTATAAACTCACACACCATCAGTGTAAGCCGATCTGGCGAGAGAATCCCGACCAGTCTGGAGGAAGACAGTGTTTTAAGCTTTTCCACATGCATTTCTCTTTCTACCCTCTGAATAATATCTATGTATATTAAATACACCATCACAAAATCAATTTTACAGTATTTAATAGGTATTTATTTTATATTCAAAAGGGTTGCACGATATTGGAAAAATCTGACATTGCGATGTTTTGTTTCAGCAGTTGGCTTCAATTGCTCTATTTGGAAAGTAGTCATTAATGTAGATTGATTGCAATTATTCTGTAGGAAAGCATAAACTACAAGCATAGATCAATACAATAGAGCTAATATGAAGTGAAATAAACAGTGCTTTATAGTTTCTAGGCAGTTTAACAGTATTCAGGTCCAGAAACTAAAATAACAAATGTAAAAAAAAACACTCAATAAATCAAAAAAATAATCTTTATTAAAGTTACAAATGGTACAATTTGTTGTATCTGAATGCTTTTAATTCACTTGAAATGATCACAGTCACAGGCCTTAAAAACACATGCAGATGATAAACTTTTACTCTATTATAGTTAAACTCTGTTGTAACTCCACAAATCTCATGTGTTCTGAACTGTGGCTCCTGGTCAACTATTATGCAGACTCTAATTCATATCCTGCAATGTAACTATTGCAGATGTGCACATTGCAATGTCGATGCTGAAACCATGTATTCCACAGTAACATTTCAATATGAATATATGTTTAATAGTATATACAGTTGTATGCAAAACAATTGGATAGCTGCATAATAATGTGCTCTTTCTTTTTAAGAGAAGACTGCAGTGAAATGCCATTCGTTTTTTGGAGAAAGATCAATAATGTCATGTTTTCAAGACAGAAATACATAGTGAAGCAGTATTGAGATGTGTAAAATTAAATTGAAACTT